GGGGGGGGGGCAGCACCTGGGGGGCAAGGACTTTAGGGCTGAGGGGCAGCTGCCCCTGCAGACTGTGAGGGGGGGCTCCCAGCTTCCAAGGAGTGTGGGGGAGAGCTCCCCCAGCCGCGGCGCCCCCAGCCATGCTGATCGCAGAGGAGGAGGAGGAGGAGAGCCAGGGCGCGGGGGGTCACCTCGTGCGCCAGCCCCCGGAGACAGGCAGCGTCCGGAAGGTGAGGGGCGCCGCGGGCATGGGGGGGGGGCATTGCTTCCAGATGTTGCATGGGGGGAAGACGGGACCCCTAAAAAGTGGCCTGGAGGCAGCAACGTCTCCCCAGCCCAGGAAATACTCTTCTTTCTCCGTAAGGAGCGAGGTGCTGCGTTCGTAGATATTTTCTGCGAGCGAAACGGGCTGGCGGGTTCATTGCACACACGGTCTCCGCGTGCTGACCCACCCGTGCGGCCAGGGAAGATCCTGCCTGCCAGCTGAAAAGCAGCAGGGGATATTTAGGGTAGCAACAAGAGTTGACGCTGTAGGTGGAATTGGTTTTTTTTTCCAGCGTCTCTAGTGTGTGGTATAAAGCAATTGGGACTTGTAGTAGAGGCGATTATCTTTTACGAGACCTACTAGCTTTTTCTGCAAAAAAAAAAATATTTGCAAAAATCTAGTTGTTCTGGTAAAAGATAGTCACCTCGAGCATGAGTCCTGATTGCTTTTTCCTTGATACGGCTGCAGCATGGATACTTTGCTGGTTGTATTGCATTTAAACTGCTAGTTGTAAAACCGTGGCATAATAGTGAGATGTGGCTTTCAAAACTTATGTGGAGGGGTTGGCCTGTTTGCTGTGATTTTTCTGAGGGCTTCTGCTTGCTAATGTGATGGAAATCATGGCAGTGTTTAAGTTTTAATATCCGCAGACAGCTCTGCCTTAGCGTTGGCTGAATTCCCGTGAGAGTTCGGTGTCTCGCCTGAAGAAAGGGCTGTTGGGGTGAAGCAGTAAACTTTGCTACCTAAAAAGCAATTGAATCTGGAGTCATGTATACTAATGTTTTTGCTGTTCGCAGGGTTGGCCTTAGGGTTGTTGGGGCCCTGGGTCAGAGAGTCCTTTGGGGCCCCTGAGAGGTATGTACTCAGGACAATATTAACCCACCACAGCTGTATCTTGGATCTTTTTAATATTGGATAAATAGTCGAGCATTTTAAAATGCAAATCGAGTCGCTTTCTTGCAAAAACTTCACTCCGAAAAAAGCTTGGGGCCCCAGACGGTTGCCCAGTTTGACCTCCCCTAAGGTTGCCACTGGGCATCCTGATTTCATTTAAAGGGAGGCGGCAGAGTTGAACTTTACAACGCAAGATGATTCATCTACAGCAGTGGGGGCCAACCTTTTTCAGCGGATGTGCTGCACATCATCCGCTCGCCCTCCTCTGCCCAGTTGACTGTTCCCTGCCTGCCACTTGCTGCTTACACTCTCCTCCATCCGTTTCGTGCCACTTGCGGCATGCATGTAGCCTCTCAGCCCTCCCCGATCTAGTGTGTTTATAAGGATGCACAGAAGAGCAAGAGTCTTCCCATTAACTTTGTATGTACTTTCACTCTTTCCCTAGGGTGAGCCATCAGCTACCCGTCGTGGTTGTGTGAATTATCTCAAGTAGTGACAGGAGAGCGATCAACATTTTTCATAGGAAAATATGGTTACAAAGCTAAACACATTGACATCAGGGCTTGTTAGGGGGAGGTCAGAGTGTGGGATGCAGCCCTTGGAATAGCTTAAAAGTAAAATAAAACTGACTAGATTCAAGCTGAACCACTGCTCTTTTAAAGAAGAATTAATAGCCTTTTTGCTGAATGGCTCACGTGCGTTTAAGTGTGGATGCAGTTGCTATGGCTCGACTGTTTTGTGGAGAAGAATTTCCAACACTACAGTAGCAGTTATCTTTTGCTCAGGATAACATTTTGTAACTGAGGCTTGGATGCACCTGTTTCCTACCGGTGCGTGGATTTGGCTTCCTGCCTTGGCTTTTATGACAGGCCGGCAGCGCTGCTTATGCCACCGGCTGTTTTGTTTTTAGTGCGTTTGCAAGCTTTGGGTTTGGGTTTTACAGGTCGGGAAATGTGGAGTCTTTAAAAACACTCATTTGTCCTTTCATTCAGCAGCAGGAGTATTTTGGGGAGAGTTTACAGCCGTAAGTCTGTTCATTTTAATGGAAGGCAATGCAGTGAAACTGTATTATCAACAGGTTTCTAGACGGTGTAGCGCAGGTGTCTGAGCAAGTAACATGCTTCAGGCTTTGCTCTCCTTGTCCGTCTCTGTTTTAACTTTTTAATTTCCTGTAGCCATGAGAAATGGCAGAGGGTCTTGTGAGCAATGTTATCTGCAAACCAGGGGCCACTAGTGTATTAGATCATTACTGGGAATGATGTCTGCCTAGCACATGTTATAGTACGATGTGACGGTGGCTTTCTCCACGTAAATAGACCAGAGAAAATATCACACCTGCATGATTTGCCTATATCCACAGGCTGCAGCGCTTTCCCAATGCTGGTCCTTCCATAAGGAGATCCTCTAGGGCTAGAAATCACCTGCAACTCTCATAAGCATTACAAATCATACAGGAAGCTTTAAAATCTGTGTCATGCAATAACATGAAATACAGAAGTTGAAGGAAGAAGCAAAAATCAGTAAAAACAGGCTGGTCGGTTTCTAATCCATTTCACTTACTTGTTCTCCTTCCGTTTCAATGGTACCTGGATGGCAAATGTAGTCAAAGATAAATCCCAATCAAAGTAAGCCCATTTCCATTGATATATTAAGCCTCAGTGATCAGTTTTTTATGATAAATTCTCCACTTTGGTTTTAAAGCATCTGACAGTTTACTTTTTAAAATAAAAGAACAGCATATTTTAGTAAGCTTTAATTATTGCTTATATTGCAGTTAGTAGCCTGCTTGCCGTCTGTTGGATTTTGCACGTAGGACCCCATTCAAAAGCATTTCTGTTTGGGATGGAACTTAAGCACATGCTAAATTTTAAGCATATCTTAATTACCCCAGATACCCTGAGTAGTGAATAAGTTTTCTGTCAAGTGCATTCCTGAACTGGAGCCATGTTACACATTTGTTGCACAGCCTTTTCGGGATAAGAACCCAAGCTAGCAAGTTCAGGGTCTTGTCTGAGGCCACTTGCACCGATCCAGCTGGCTGGTTGGGACTATAGACTTGTGTTCATAGCAGCAATACCTTTGTACTGCAGCAAGTAACTTTGTCAGCATTTCCAGTTTCAGCCCCCTGTAAATCATTAAAAGGGGGCATATCTTTTGTTTTTGCATAGCTTGCTCTATGCTGAAGTTGGATCTGGATAAGTGAAGCAGATGTTTGTATTTTAAAATGAATGTCTGTTCTAGGTGCAAGTTGAACAAAGAAATGCAGGACACTTGTTCTAGAGCAGTGGTTACAGTTAAGGCATCTCTGGGGAAAATACCACCTCCTTGTTTTCATTATTTTTTTTGACTACAGAAAAATAGTAGAGCAGTGCTTCTGTTGCAGAGAATTTGGGAAGACCCCAGCAAGGAAGAACGTTTTCAGTGCTCTGCATTTCTATTTGAAATCTCTGGATTTATCTTGTAATTCATGTCTGCACGCCTAACACATGCCGTGGCACCCTGGTTGAGAATCGCTGTTCTGGATTCCCTAGAGCGATCGTTCTCAACTGGTGGGCTAGGACCAGTCTGACTATAAGTTACCCATCATCATTGCCCTAGGCTGGATTCAAGCTTTGCAGTTCAGAGGTGAAACATCATAGTCGTGCTATCGCTTTATCCCTCCATAATACTGACGCTGTCATATAGAGCTACCACTTTTGTGGCCTTCTTGGAAATAATTAGGCTTTACTTGCAATGAGACTCAGACTAAAATGAGTCATAGAGAACCAGATGCATTTCTCCTGGAATTTTATCGAAGTAGCATATTTTGCCTGGAGCAATTAATTTCCATGGTTGATCAGCACGATGAAGGGAATATGACAATACAAGTGAAGGGGCTACCAGTTAAAATCACTCTAGATTGGTAAAATTAAGCTTTTGCCTCATATTGCCTGGTGGCAGAGCTTGGGCAGTAAGAATGCTTTAATTGGTCTTGTCTCTATTTTTGATGTACAGCAGTCTGTTTTTGCTAAATAAACCTTACAAAATGCTCTCTGAAAAAATGCCTAGGCAGCAGCTTGTGCCAGTTGAATCAATCTGTGGTACTGAAAATGTCTAACAAAGAGAGGAAAGTTAACTGAAGCCAAGTTTATTTTGTAACATATTACTTAAATACAAGTTCCTCAGCTCCAGCCTGTGTGCAGTTACACAGATCCTCGCCCAGTACAGGGAGGAGTGATAGAAACACAGCACAGAGAAGTGTTGCAACAAGTCTGCTGCGTTGCCTGTTTCTGGGCATAATTGCTGATGTTAAAAACGATAGGTTTTGTAGCTGTGATGTTGCAAGGGATTGAAATCAGTAAGTTCCCAGAGCCAGTGATAGGTCCTTCTTGGAGATATCCTGTACTGTTGCTGCGTGTGATGTCATGGGAACTTGGGTTATGACCTCAAATAGGGAATAAAATCTCGGGAGTAGCTAATGCTGTTTTTCATGTAGCTAGGTGATGATTAAGGAGCAGAAATTACAGTGATCATGTGTTGTAAAGCATCAGCTGCTCCCTATCAAAATGGCCTCTCTCAGTGTATGGCAGAGATCTCTTCTGGAGGATGAACATTTTGGACCTACGCTAGTGTATGTCATGAATTCCCTTTGATAACCCCAACGTGCAACCTCACTTATCACCCATAAGTTCTCCTTTATATGCATCTCTTCTTAGTTTAACAGGGCTTGCAGTTTCAGCTGAAGCAGTTCACCAGGAAATGAGCAGGTGGCAAGAATTACTATTTCTCAATTTCTCCAACTTGCATTTTAACTTGAGGGCTGTTTAAATTCCCTTCTATGCAACACTTGGCTGGGCATGAGACTGCTTCGGACCTATGGACTCGTGTGCTTGTGACTGCTGCCCGTGCTGGCTATAGGAACACGGGACCAGCAGGGACTCACCGGGCCAACGAGTCCAGTTCCCTGCTCTTGCGACAGCCGCATCCTTTAATCCATCCCTTAAGCTGATCAAGCTTTCCGTCAAGATCAGGAAGGTTGTTTTGCTGCTTCTGTTCCCAGGGAAAGTCTGTTTCAGAACCTCATGGTTAGAAACCTCCTTTCATTTCCAGACTACATCTTATTCATGACCAGGGTGCATCCAGCACAGACAGCCCTATAGTTTCATAGACATTCGGGCTGGAAGGGACCTCAGAAGATCATCGAGTCCAGCCCTGCACCCAAAGGACAGGAAGTCAGCTGGGGTCATAGGATCTCAGCAAGATAAGCATACAGTTTGCTCTTGAAGGTGTTCAGTGTATGTGCTTGAACCACCTCTGATGGCAGGCTGTTCCAGACCTTTGGGGCTCGGACAGTAAAGAAATTCTTCCTTATGTCCAGCCTGAAATGGTCTCGCAGTAGTTTATGACCGTTCGACCCTGTCATCCCTTGGGGCGCTCTGGTGAACAAATGTTCCCCCAGGTACTGGTTGTCACCCTGATAAAGTTATAGGTGGCCATCAGTTCACCCCTGAGCCTGCACTTTTCCAGGCTAAAGAGCCCCATGGCTCTCAGCCTGTCGTCGTAAGGTCTGTTTTCCTGACCTCTGATCATGTGCGTGGCTCTTCTCTGCACTCTCTCAAGCTTCTCCACATCCTTTTTGAATTGTGGGGCCCAAAACTGGATGCAGTACTCCAGCTGCGGCCTCACCAAGGCCAAGTACAAGGAGAGAATGACGTCCCGGGACTTGCTTGAGAAGCATCTATGGATGCAAGCCAGCATTTTGGTCTCTTTACTAGCTGCAGCATCTCATTGAATTTATTTTAAAAAACACAGCCCTTCTAGAGTATTTGAAATTGAACATGAAACCAGCCACACGCACACAACAGG